TGAGTTAGACAAAGTAGAGTGTTGCAGTCCTTAAAATTACCTGCCGAGCTTAACAAAGAGTGACATTCATATATTGTTTCAAGTTGGAACATGAAAGGTGAAGGGAAGACAAGAACGAGTTTCAGTCCCTGTTTGTTGGAATAATGAGTAAAGAAGAAGGTTTGGAGACGACCAGGATTGTTGGGTTTAGATCCAATCCCAAATGCCGTACCAATCCAGGAGGTTTGAATAGGAATAAGCCGGAACAATTAGCTACACTGCAGCATGTTTTACACACACATTCAACTGTAGTTGTATTAAAAAATATATATAATTATGTTCAATTATTTCTTTTTTTTATAACTACTTTATTTTTAAATTAGGACATTTTATTTAAAGTTGGTTAACTATGTAAGATGATTTATTTTTGCAATTAAGTTTGTTAATGCAGTTACATGCTAGGCCACTGGAGGCATGCGTAATGTAAAATCAACTTTTTTGGGATTTATACATGTCATAACGTTATTCCCTCATCAAAAGCATACCTGGAGTGCTGCAAATCTGTTATTGAACCAAATTCATTTTAAACCTGTTTATATAAGTCAATGTCTTCTTTCTTTCCAGCAGCCTTTCTTCTTGACTCACACTGGCCGCAGAGCTTTAAACTCTGCAGAGTGCTCCAAAACAATCGACAGGGGCAGCTTTAGTGTGTCTTTACTGAGATTTTATCTTTCCACACTCTTGTCATCATATTGACATTTCATGAGCAATAAACAAAACTGAGCAGGACTGAAAAACAGAATGATTCTCTCAGGGAGACAGAAAGCAGAGTTGAGGTCAGATATATTCACCTGATACAATCTCTTATCGAATTAATAAAAGAGCTACTTAGTAAACTCACAATAGAAGAGAAAGCACACGTGTCAACTCCACTCAGGGAAAGGCAAACCTTCACTCCAAACATGCCCTAATGAAGGAGAAGGAGCGGCAAGAAGAAGGTCAAAAGAACAGTAGAATTGTTTCTTTTAAGAAATGCATTAACAAAAGCAGTGCAATAATGGAAGATGGCATTCAATCACTCTTTAAAGGTAATAGGCCTTAAGCCATTCACCTGGATATCATCAACAATCCAAAACCACAGTATGCAGAGTATGCAAAACTGAAGAATGAAGTGAAGTCAACACCAGTGAACGGCACATACCTGGAATATTCGGAAGAGGGAAACCTGGAATAGGAAGAGTGGCAGACAAAAAAGTGAGTGATACACATCACTAATGACTTAAATACATAAAATATATCAATATTTCCAAAACTTTGTGTTCCTTTCTGATTACAGCTTCAGTGTGTAACTTTTTTTTAAATGAGTCATTTTTCGTATTTGTTAAAACTGTTACTAAGCTGTGACAGTATGGTATGAGACAGATAATCTATGAAGAAAATAAAGCTCCTCTGTCTTCTCCCAATGCTCCCAGTGACAATTAGAAACAACCAATCAGTGTGCACGCTGATCACCCGTCCTCCTGTCTCTGATTGGTTGTTTTTGAGCGGGAGCGATGCATTTCTTCAGACGGCAAGAGCAGCACAGGGAGGAGGTGGAGGAGCTCAATCTTTTCAAAGATTATCTGTCGTGACCTGATGACGGTTTTAGGACATATGTGGAAAACACACACGTTTTTAAAAAGTAAAGTTTACATGTTGTATCTTCAAGAAGACGTGAGTCAACTGATTCCTCTCCAGACATTTATCTGTTCATCAGGGCTGAGGTCAAAAGTCAAAAGTCCCAGGCTGAAAACGGCAATGATCTAATGAGTTATTTATCTTAGAATGGTGTCAAACAAGATAAACGTAGTGTGTTCATTTCATGGCTATTTCCTCCTCTATCTATGATACATAACATAAGGTAACATATGGTATTACCTAAGAGCTGGGTGTCCTAAATAGATAATTCTCTGATATGTGGCATGGTGTGACATGTTCTAAATAGAAACCCCAATGACACGCCTTTATCTAAACCACTGAGTAACCCCTAATTTTCCACATAGTCCTGTTCTCTTTAACTTGTACTTAGAAAACTATTCACACCTTTCTACTATTTTTTCTACCTTAACAGCTCCTCCTTTCACACCTTTGTGAACAAAGTGTTTGAGTTTTTAGGTTAAGGTCACTGTTACGGCCCAAGGCCTTTTCCTTGGGGTCTCTAACATCCATGTTTTGGACTCCTTAATTGGTGCTGATTGGAAGTGGAGGCAGCTGGCCAGTGTCTCCAGATGACATCAGATCCACCTTACGATGCACCACTTTCTCTGACTAAGCAGCTCATTCTTCCTGTCTCCCTGCCACTCTCTCCCCTTTCCCCCTTTCCCCCCCAACCAGTTATGATTTTTGTTAAATAAATTCCCTTTTAAGTTATCTCTTGCGTTGCTTCCCTTTCATTTGTTATGGTTTAAGAGCCAGACCATAACAGTCACACAAAAAAAAAGTCCTTTATTTTTCCGACTTAAGTGCGACTAGAGTCAGAGTCTCAAATCTGAGTTGCTATGTCTGTGTTGAGGCATAGGTGTGTGCGAGGTCCTTAGTTTTATTTTCTGTTGCAATAATGAACTGGATATCTGGACACTGTGCAGATTGACCACTTCAGGAGTACCAAACGGGACGGGGGACAGTTTAATTAGGTGCAAAGTTGTTTTCACCATCATGTCCTGTCCAGTTGACACAGTAAAGACATAGACCAAACTGTTTGTTGTCATAGAAAGTTACACAATGAAGATTATTCTGGAGCATTCTTGATCTCAAGGGAAACCAGAGCTGTGATTTGCACTATTGGAGTCTGCCTGGTTGTACCAATGGTGCCTTGTGTGGTTATGTGGTGCTTTCAAATTAAAAACCATCATTGCTGCAGTCCCTTTATCTGCCCTTTTACACAGCAAAAAACTCGGGGAGACATCCACTTCTCTGCTAACTACATAAAATAATTTTCTGGTTGTGTAAATTACTTTCTCCAGTCAAGCCGAACCAATCTCAGACTTTCAATTGGTGACATGTTGTGAGAAAACAAGACAGAGCAATTGCTTGATTTTCAAAAATCAAATAACCATCTCCAGTCTGCCAGGGGGCAAGTTCTTTCACTTAAGGCAGAAAACCGAACATATTTGATTAAAATGTTTGCTTTTCATCAGGAATTTGTTTTGGTGCTCACACAGGCCAGCTCAAAAGAATCAAACTGTGTTTTTTGTTGATTTACCGCTGTTGAGAAAATATTAGTATATTTTAACAGCATCAGCTTTAACCTCAAAGGAAACATATATACCAAATTCTGGAACACCTTCATATTTATTGATAATAAAGACAGCAGATTTACACATTTTTGTTTGCTCTCTTTTATAGCAAAAGAGAAATGGTGCTGTGAAGTTCATAAATGCACAGGGTTATGATAAACTGGATGCTTAAGGATTTGCTTTGTTTCTGTTGTGTTGTCAGAGTTCAGATAATCAAAACACATTTTAATTTTAGACAAATGCAATAGGCTTTTTATTTTAACAAAAATTACTCCAAAAAGAAGGCCTAAACATAAATTATTTAATAGCAACAAGGCAAATATTTTTTCATGCACTGTAAATTCTTGCATTTAAATTTGCATGACGAATCTTTCCACTTGCTTGGTTTTCTTAGTTTGTAGATAAATGCTGCATTTCAGGTGGAAGTTTTTCAAAGGCGTAAAGAAATCCAACACCTAATGAACGCAGTGGGAATGTGGGTGTGGAACAATCATAAATCATTAGAGCTCAGTTCTATAGTTAGACATCTGATGAGTTTAATTTAAGAAAGCTAAAACAGAGAGTGGAGGAAAGGGGGACAAGGCGGTGAAATTGGGAAATCAGGCAGCACTGATATTAAACAAGAAACAGGTGACAGAAAAAATGTGCAAGATGTCACAGATAGGTAAAAGAAAAACAAAGAGAAGAGAGACAATCCCCATTGTACTGCATTACAAAAACAGTAAAGTGAAAATAAAATGAAAAGTGGGTGAGAGCAGATGTGAGAAGAAGGTGTAGGCAAAGAGGTGCAGAAAAAGACAAAAGAATCTAATTAATCTACTCGATGGGTTTGGTGTAATTTGCCACTGAACTCTCAAATACAGGCTGCCAGATGGAAGACGGGTAGCTCAAATGCTTTAAGTTTCACAGTGTGGGGAATCTTAATGTGAAGTGCATTTGTTTTGCATAACTGCAGCACATTTTAAAAATATTGGACACCGTGTAAAGATGTGTAAAAAAAACAAAACATGCAGCAGTTTAATCTCACATTGACAATTTCAGAAATTGCATATTTTATTTGAATATTCTGCCGACAGTTTTCCTCTGAAGAAGGAATACATTGTGTGTGGGAAGCCATTTTTGTTTGATTTGGTCTTTTGTTTTGGCTCACTAACCTTCTGTCACATCTGCATTCACTTTTCTGATAGAGGTCATAGTTTTTTGTTTGCTTGTTTTATGTTCAAATCTTCTGATGCTTGAAATATTTCCAGATGGCATGTAAATAGTCATTAGAAAGGGAAACAATCCCACTACATCACAGATCCCCAACCAATGCCTAACATCCTGTGATCCACACAAGAGCTGCACATTCACTTGCAAAAAGCTAAAATCTTTCCAAAAGCATTTAGTGAAGTCCACATGATTACACTTGAAATGTAAGATCAGAAAAGGTCCTTTCCTTTTTTCTCTCTGGCATGCCTCCCAGACAACCAGTTGTACTCACAACTGTCGCAAAATGCAAACAGCTCAATATCCAGGCAGCAGAAACTGTATATTAAAGTAACACGTCTTGGATGACGCCATCCGTTGTTTGCAAACACTGTTAATCAACTACTTCTGCTTTCATCACTTCTCTTTTAATCTCTGTCTGGCTGCACGGTCACAAAGAGATGAAGTCAGGGACATGATCCTTGCCCATTATGATCGATATCAAACTGCAGAAGGAGCTTCTCATTGTTTTATCCCTGCCAAACTCCCAAAACAGCCAAATTTGTGATGTGAAGCAACTAATAGTTATCATTTTCATAGATGCTCTTGTTTAGGCTGCGAATCTCGGCAGCAACTCCAAAATTACACTTGGGCTCTTGGCTGCACCCCTGATCTTAATTAAAATACTCATGCAACACTTTGCAGGTGTTCATTTTCAAAGAAAATGTGAAAACCCTGCTTCCTTCTCTACAACTTAAACTGATTAATTGGTTTAAAAAGGTGTCAGTGCATTGATGGGAATGGAACAACATGCAAAGAAAAAAAAAACCCTTTCCTGACAAAACTGTAAAAAAAAATTACATAAACAGACTAGAAAGCATTCGAGTTGTACAAAGCTGTAGCATTGATCATATGCATTTGTGTCATAAAATGTGGTTAGGGCAAAACACCAAGTTGACCTTTTTGTCTTGTTCACAGTGGAACTTGCATGCAACAAAACATTCTACTCTGTTAAAGCATGCTTACTCAAAACAACAAGTCATTGATTCTTGGAAGCTCTTAGCAGGTACAGAGGTCAAGGCGTTCTATTTAAAGGCACCTTTAATCAGAACACCTTAAGCTGTCAACAACAACCTATTGAGCCCCTATAGTTTGTTGCACATCATCCCACATTTCTAACTTTTTCTTGAAACTGTCCTGTCACAGTGGAAAAACACCCAGGCCAAGAAAAAAGAATGTACCAATTATGACCTGGGAACATGAGAAGTGGATCGCAGCTGAAAAAAAAAAAAAAAAAGATCTCAGATATAAAAGGCTGAAAGGAGTCTCTTCAAAAGAGACAGAGCTTCTGAGAATCAAAAAGAGTCCCATGTTTTGGATACCTCCATTTGCATCTCTTTGGAAATAGAGGTACAACGGGTGATGTCAGTACACCCTTTGCACCTTGATTTGGAAGTTTTCCAGGTATGTCCCACAATGAGGAAAACCTAGAAGAGACCCAGTGTTTCACACTGATAGATTGTAATCAGACTAAGACACAGGAGGACAAAAAGGAGCAAAAGACAAATAGACAAATGATTAAAAACGGAAATTTTCAAACGTGCTGATCAAAAATAAACAAAATAAATTATTTTTACCTGGCAAAAGATGAAAAGGTAGTCTGTTTGTGAATATGACAGTGCTGCAGTTCACAATCCTTGTCAGACAAGAACTTCTTCCAGGAGAGTAATGTCCCTCCTTTGAAGCTACTTTAGTTTTAGGTCTCACTTCTTTTTGCATTTTGAAGGTCAACTGAGAACCTGGCAGAGGTTAATCTCTCTTAATCAGGAGATTACTTCCCTTCTGGCCTGGGGATGCCATGGGACACCCCAGAATGAGCTGGAGAGTGTCTCTGGGGAGAAGTCATTTCTAGACCCGTTCCCTCCGATAACCAACTGTGTATGCCTACTTCAGTTCTCCATAGGTTTTCTTCAGCTCTTGTATTAAGCAAAAAATAATTCTGAAATATGTTCACTTCTTTCTAACAGCTTTCTGAACTAAAACCTTTAAGGCAGTCAGACACCTGACAGTTTAACTTATTAGCTTCATCATACTTCTCTGCGTCACTGTTTCTGGGTCTTAATAATTACTATAGTGGGCGAAATGCCTGTAAAGTGGATACTACCAATACTTTATTTACAAACCCACACACTTTTATGTCCGTAATCTTCAGGGCAGAGGAAATGTGTTTGGCGCTGAGGTGGCGTGTTCACTTTCCTCTTCCATCATTCATGTCAACAGAAATTTAGAACCCACCCACAACACTGAAACAAAACACCACCAATGGTTTCTACTCAGCCCCATACCTAACATCCTTGCAGCCTTTATCAGTGACAGTCCTGCTCCTGCTAAAACTGTAACGGTGAAGTAAAAAAAAAAAAAAAAAAGAAAAGAATGTCAAGGCTGCCTTGGCATTTTCTGTACTTCACTTTCTCCCCGCCAAACCTATTCTCCACTCTGCCATTTCCTCCCCTGCAGTCGACTCACAGCCCCAGCCTGCTACCATCTTGTCTGCTGGCCAAGAAAGTAGATTACACAGGAAAAATGTCATAAACTCTGTGGCGAGGAAGCACAGGCTGTCAATTATACATGTGCCACTCTGCTGCTATCTCCAATTCTCCTTCTCCACCCACTCCAAGTAACTCGGCCGGGGCTGTCCTATTCTCCTCCTCTCCATTCTGTCTCTGTCAAATTCTGACATCTGTCTTTTATCGTGCTGCCACAAGAAAACCACACTTACACGCACACGCACACACACACACATACACATACACACCCACACCCACACCCACGCATACACACGGTAGGACGTATGTAAAACCAGAAAGGTAAAATCATAACAGGCTTTCAAATTGAAACACACTTTCCAACATTCCTGTGATCCAGTGCCGCTCAGACGGTTTTACAGTTAAGATCATAAAGTGTCTTAATACAGTTTAAAAACGGCATTACATCACTGACCAGTTAATAATAATAATAATAATAATAATAATAATAATAATAATAAATTAGCTTTCTAGGCTTATTCTTTGTACAGAAGGCAGGGTGAGAGCGATTTCTTTTGGAACAAATTTTCATCCGTTCCCAAAGAACAAACTAACCCATCTGGGGAGGTTTACTCTGAACAAGCAAAGTTCCCCAAAAACTGATGACAAAGCTGACACTATTTAATCGTTACGAGCAATGCGGAAATTGACTGTGAAGGTACAGAAACGACACACACACACGCGGACACACACACGCGTGCGCACACACACATATACACAGCCTCCTACGTAGATCTGGTTTGGAAAGACGGCTACCTTGAACTCAGCCTGATAGACTAGGATCTATCATGAGGGAGATGATAAAGTGTTGCAAATGACTGAAGCATCCATGTCTACATGCAGATGCCTCTAAAAATAAACCACTTCAAAAGAGAAAACAGGAAAAGATAAAAAATAATGCAGAGATCAGGCCTTTGCTTACGACTAAAGAAAGACTCAGAAGGAGTTTTTTTTTTTTTGCCAAATCTCTTCGGGTTTCAGGTCTAGAATTTGGCCTCTGTGCTGCTTCGGGTTGGATTATCTGTGTAGCATTGTTCCGCTTGTCCAATTAACAAAAGAAGGTCGTTCCCATAGTGTAAAATTCTTTGCTGTGAGTCAAACAAGACAATAACAAAATGTGTTCAGCAAACACTCCCCTCATTAAAAGAGCGAAAGTGGTGGAAATCCTTTTTTATTTTTATTTTTTTTACATTAAATTTTTAGGCATGCATAAACATCTGCTCCCACAAAATCTAGCCAGGACATCGGAGTCACTCCACTTAAGAGCCAACCCAGAGCAACCCCTGCAAGCTGCTAAGGTTAGAACCATGGCTCATTTTGCTTGTTAAAAATAAGACTGTCAGGGAAAAACAAATCAGATTGGGAAGAGTGATTTGAACAGTCTTACCTTATATCTATAGATAGATAGTAAATAGAAGCTATCTATCCACAGTATCAGCTGCAGTGCCACCATGCAGTCAAAACATGAGTTTTATTTTTATAATAATCCCTGTCTATTGATTTTAAGACCAAATATTGGGTTTTAGAATAAGTCCTTCATACTTAATATAAGCATAAAGGTTAAAAATAATTAGCACACTAGTTATATTATCATCAATATTCATGGATTCACCCGTTTGCAGATTTTTCTGTGAATCAAAACTCCAAATTGCTCTTGGAAAACATGCCTTTGCACAGATTTTATATATCTAACTTATTCAGGGGGAGGGTGGAAGCATTTTAGGAAGCTAAAATATAAATGTTGTAAGTTGATACAGATGTCTCCCTTAACTTTCACTGTCAACCTTAAATTAGGGCTAAACGTTAACTGGCTACAGTAACAATAGTTGAATGTTTCCTGCTGCTTATATCCCCTCTTTAATGATTTCAGTCACTTATGCAACACATGCAAAATTACGCTGAAGATATGAAAGACATCGTATCACATTAGTGTAAATGTAATGCTGAGTGTGTGATAGTTTTTGTATTTAGTTTCTATTTTACATGAATATGAATGTGACTGCTCTGATATTTTTGTTCAGTCAGAAAAACAAAAAAACATACATACCATTTTTATTCTGATGGTGATTTTCGGCTCTTTTTTTAGACTCATCAAACACACAGATATTCTGCTCCTAATTAGCAGCAAAATTTCTGCTCACAAAAGCCATGTATGTCTGCTTCTGTTGGCTCCTCTCTGACCTAAATGCAGCAACATATTCACATGTAGGAAAAACAAATAGTCTGTTTTTATTAGTGATAATAATCTCTGTTGTGACAAGATGTGCTCATACTTTGGGAGTAACCGTGTTACTTCTGACAAAAAGTTGAACTACCGCATTTGTATGTGTTGATGAAGTCAGTTGTCTTTATAAATAATTTACAGAGAAGGAATAAACGAAGCTCTCGACTCCCATGAGTCACAAAACAAATGAGATAATTAAAGGTGGTGTATTATGTCTTCCAGGCGCAAAGTGCCTTTTCATTGTGCAATCACCTAACTATACCTTCAACTGTTATAAAAATGTCTTGCATCTAAAAGATAATTGTAAAAATGTACTTTGCGTCACAGCTGTTTTTGACAACAGGTGTTTGCAGATTGCTGCTGGCAGTCTGGTGGCTCTGTCTGGGGCAGACTTTTTGTCAAAGCAATGATGAGGGAATGATATTATAACAATTTAAAATATATATATATTTTACTTAATACCTCAATTTTAACAGCTCCATGGTTAAAAGAAATTCTGCATGGTTTGCATTTTCAAACATCGTGTAAACCTTTGTCACATGCCTTTTCTCTTCCTGCCACATGTCAAAGAGTCTCTGACCAGTAAAGACTTCTTATTTTTTGCTCTGGGACTTTTCCTACCGAAGCCTCTCTGCAGAGCTCTTATTGTATATTCATAATGGAGTGAAATGTTTCTGAGACTTGTTCTTATTGCAGAAAAAGGTATCTGTGTTAATGGGGAGAAAGGACAGAGATGTCTGTAATGGTAAAGACCAGGACAGGCTGAAACGGGAGAGAAAAGGCTGAAGAGAAGGGAATAGGAGGTGAGCAGCTCTGTCTATAACTCATCAGTGTTTATTGTTTCTTTGTATGATGTACTGTGAGTTCTGGACTCCCGTTGTCACTGAGTGGCGCCTGGCGCTGTGTTGAGCTTTATCAGTCTTCATTTTGTATCTTACAGTCTGTGGCGTGTGGGGAGGTTCCTAAGCGGTGAGGCACTGACTCCTCTGGAGTTGATTGTTCAGAGATATAAAAAACCAAAAACAGAAGCTTTTATTTCAATTTTGGCCTTAATTGAGACATTTAGTTTCTTTACAAGCTTTAGATTAGGCTTAATCAATCCCCTGCTGTTGACAGATATGATGGCATGAAAATCAAAAATCATATATCAATAATGAAGTTCATGCAATCAAGAGAATGAAGAAAGCCAATAGAAACAAGTCTTCATTGCATTCATAGTTCATTAGTCATCAGAATACGTAGGACTCATTCTCTACCTGCCAATAGCAGGGCTTGCTGCTCAAGGATTTGTTGCTAGGCACTTTCTTGAAAAGAGCTAGAGCGTTTTGTATACTCACTTACAAAGTTGCTAAATAAGCCACACCAAACAGTTGTTTGGGTAAAGGGATGGTGTGGGAGGGACTTTTGTGCTTTTGTGGGTCTAGATCAGAGGTGGGCAACTCCAGGTCTGGAGGGCCGGTCTCCTGCAATTTTTAGGTGTGTCTCTACTTCAACACACCTGAGTCAAATAATGAGGTCGTTAGCAGGACTCTGGAGAACTTGACTGAATCACCACTTAGGAGGTGATTCAGCTGTTGGATTCAAGTGTGTTGGACCAGGGAGACATCTAAGAGCTGCAGGACACCGGCCCTCGTGGACCAGGATTGCCCACCCCTGGTCTAGATTCTAAACCTTTATGTGTACACTTGCTCCAAATTTGGAAAATGGCCCTGAACTCTAAATTTCAGCATGACTCATGATCAAATGTTTTAGGTGGAATCAGGTTTTCCATATTTTATAAAATCCAATGCAAGAACACAACAAACACCACTTGACAGGAACACTCAGAAATGCGATGTAAAAATGATGATTGGTCATGTATGAACTAAATCACCCAGAAACAATAATGCTGAGCAAAACTGGATTGGGTCTGTGTTTGTGTTTGCCCAGATATACTGGATCTAGATTCACTCTGGATGATCTACTGGACCTCACATCTCCAGGACAAGTACACAAACACAAAGACACACACTTTTAAAATATTGGATGTCTTCCAATGACACAAAGGCCCAATGCTATAAGCATTGATCGTGCTGTTCACCTCATATCATTAATAGATTTACGACAGCTCCATGTCGTTGTTTCCAAATGATCTCCCTGGTTATGACACTAAAGGGTCAGTTGAATACCAAGCAACAGAGATAAATCTTCACCGTGCTATCTGCTGCTGGTTCCTGCTGGCATTGTCTGTCACCGTGCTCCAGCTATGCCTCCATATTACCCTGCACACTGTCTGGAATGGATCCAGTTCCTAAAATAGTGACTTGGAAAATAGGTGCAGTGCACTTTATGAGAAAAGAAAAAAAGGGGAATATGAAAGGGAGTAAAAATGACTGTGCTTGTGTGGGCAAAGAGGTCTCCTATTAGGGCAGTGGAGGGAGAAATATTGGTCAGAGCAGCCCCGTACCATTTGTCCTCATCAGGATCTTAAATAGAATTGGGATCAATTATTCATGGGGTCCATAACTTGCAATAAATGTTAGCTGAGACAATGCAGTCTGTACCAGGGAGAGACAGAGGACTGGGGTTTAGAGGCACTTATAGAGGGCCAAGTTTAAAAGTCCGAACAAAACAGCTGAATAACTAATTCTGGATCAATCTTTCCTGTGGCATTTAAAAGCCCTTTTGGTTTTTTGATGTTCCACTTTAACCACAAGATTATCTGGGAAAACACAGTGCAGCCTTTAACCCGGCAGAGCAATGGCAATCTAAACTCAGCACAGTGCTGCTGAAGGACTAAGCTACTGTATGTCCTAGGAAATTATTATTTCTCTACAGAGTCCACAGGAATGCTCTGTGGTTCATATTTTCAAAATGTGCATATTTTTAAAAGATATTTCTACTTAAGTAGTGTATTCTTTTCTCAGGCGTTTTACATCATTACCTCAAGTTGTTTTTTGAGTTAGAACTTATGCTTGAAGATCAGTGGTGGCAGGACATTTTCAGGATATTCAAACTTAGAACTTGCAGTCAAATTAAAGATGTGTTTCAAGCTGAGATGTTTGTTTAGTTAAACGTGAAAGAAAAGAAGAATTGGCTCATCCCATACGTCACAGGAAAACATTAACGATTGAGCAACATTTAAAAACTCAACATAGTCCACATTTAAAGGAAGCAAAACTTTCTCAACAGCCAAGAGCCCAGAGCCTCTGTATGAAGCAACGTATGGCTTCAATAAAGTTCCATCTAACTCCTGCTGACAATGTTTTAGCAGTTTGGTAAAGTGCTAAGCTAATGCTAAGATATCTGCTCTCTGTTTTGATATGACTCGGTGATAATTCAGGTGATAACGTTTTGATTGTAGTTAAACATCTGCAGACAAAGCTTAGAAAAATGTAGCTTTTTTTGCTTCATATGTTTTGCTTTCACATGACAGAAAAATACGAAGCTACAGTAGCCGACACAATTTGGCTGTACATCATTTTAAAGAGTGAAAAATACGTGCATTTTCAGAGAGATACAAATGCAAAAACTTAATGTGCTTAATCCATGGTACACTTTTTGCAGGCTGCTCACAAAAAAATAGCCCGTGATTTTTAAAACTGGCAAAGCAAAACATAACAAATGGCTCACCAATAAGGGATCAATTCAGATTATTTCAGCACGCTTTGATTGTGACAACAGGTAATGGATCGGATCACTTCTACAAAATTCGTTTGTGAAAGATAAGTGTTCCAGTTTGAACTCCAGCAGTGACTGGTTTCGAGGCTTGTTGATTATAAATCGATGCGTTTAATCAGGTATGGTTACGATGAGCAGACAAGCCGCAGTGGGTTCCCTCTGGTTTTACCGCTCCTTATAGGAAGCATTCTGACCAAACAATGAAACAAAAAGCTGATGTTTACCTCAGACTGTGTACCTTACATGCAATAACAAGGCACCACAGCACAAAAGAGGACCAGGGACTACAAAGCACACTGAAAGACGAATATCTTATTTACAGCACAGCAGTATCTTCGTATTGCAAAAATCTTTTCTCCTTCAATACCAGCCTCCAAAATATTACATATTAAATTTTTAACACCTATTCTGCCTGCAGTAGTTTTGTTGTATTGAGGTGAAACTGCAGGTATTATTTTTAATCTGGAGGAAAATAATATATTTCTTTAACTAATGTGCAGTTTTCCTATATTAGCTATGCTAATAGCTTTTAAAATTTTAAAAGTATACCATGATAAAGAAATACCATTAAGGACTAAATTTAATTTACTGTTTAGGTAACAGTAAATGCTACTTTGACCTTTATTCAGTTGCTCTGTTACTGTCCATCACAAAGACGTTGTAAACTGGCCAAGAACAACATATTACCCCCAATTGCATGCATAGCAAAAGTCAATTTTCTTTCATACTCACAAATAATATAATTCCTCAGCATTTATTGGGTTTAAATGAAACTAAGTACATTGGTTCGGCCAAGTACCATTTTGGTAATTCAGAAGAGTTTTTAATGCAAACTGCATCAAGCTCAAATTAACAAATTACTATTTATGTGTGAGTCTTCTTGTTTGTATTGAACTGTTTCATTACAGAAATACTCATCTCAACAGATGAGCAACCTGAGTATCTTATCTAAATTACGAGATTTGAAGAGAATGACTAAAGGGAAATAGTATGGATGGAATATGTTGTGTGTCAGTTTCAGTTTAAATAACTCACTTCTTCTGTATTCTGACAGCTCAACATAAATTCACTCAGCAACGCAATTAATAACACATCCCACACATTTCCGATTTTTATTTGCCAAAACTATTGAGACCATCAGAGCCACTTCCTTCCACAGTTGTCACAACTGAAGCTGCCACTAAGAATAAATACTTGATACATGATACTAATTCTCAATACCACAGCAACTGTTTTAAGGCACAGGGTTCTTTAAAAAGCAACATATATTAACAGTTATGTATCTTTTATAGATCAATGTGTCTTTGATTTTGTTCCATAATTATTTTATTATTATACCTTATTATAGCTGTATGCTTACATTTGCCTACAAATTTGCTGCTGATAAACATAAATGTTTTTCCATAGGAACAAAGAAAAAGGACTATTCTGTTCCTATAAATAGATTTTTTGAGTAAACATGCATAAATATGTATATAGAAAAGTTTTTACTGTGTAGTTGCCATTAGGTAGTCCATAAAGTCATACACTGATGGGCATTTCATGCATTAATTTGTAACCACAGTAGCACCACTGGGCCCTCCGACCCCCACCAGCAGGTAAGGTGGGCGAAGTGTCTTGCCCACAACGCAACAGAGGAGGGAGCAGAGGGTATCTAACCAGCCGATTGTGGGGTGAACTCCTACCACCGTCACCACAATTCCCCCTATTTATACACTTGATGTTCGTTCATGTGGACTTACAGGTTTATTACTTCACCGTTGAAGTTACTCGCCAACATCAGATTTTCAGTTGTAGAGCCAGCACAGATAGCATCTGGGCTTGTCGGCATCTTTCTAATCCTGCATTTTAATCTGCTTTGCAATTGAAAACAATTGCAAAACCTCATCTTTGAACTTCCTTGCCATGTCAGTGGAGTTTTAAACTTCCAGCAGCGGCTCACCATTTTAAAATTCCCCCATAAGTGAGCCACTGCGAGAGGCGGGCGAGGGTGTTTTGAGTCTGTCGGCAGAGCTGCAGGGTGAAGTCGTGTACCTGCTTGTGGAAACGAAAGTAGGTCAGTTTTCATCTATTATCGAGCAAATGAGTATCATTCAGAATTTCTTTTTATTAATAATGATTATATTGAAACACTAATTACTATTTCTGACAACCTTCATTCTGTATTAATACCACACATTTCTTTTCATGACGTGACAAATTAAAAAGACATTGAAAGATCATAACTGGTTTTGCAAGGCAAAGTTTGTGGTAACATCTATGAGACATAATGTGTTTTAGGATTAGGAGACACATTCGTATTTTTCAAAGAAAATTAAATCTTGGAAATTTTGCCATGGTTACAGAGTAGCTAAAACAAATAAACCAAATAAAAGACCCAATGTTAAACCTTATTTTAGGGACTTTCCAAATAGACACAACTAAAAGAGCTATAGTGCATAGATTACTCCTGTCAGCGGCCATGTGCAGGGGTTAAAAGGTTACACACCTACTCAGTAAACTGTACTTACCCCTGAGAATTGACTAATTACAGGAATAAAACAACAAAATGCTGTGAATGCATGTGAATGCATGCAGCTCATTGTTCCCATGTACAACAAACCGAAAGTGAAGTAAAATAAGAAAAGGTAGCAAAGAAATTACTTGAAAAACAATTAGTCACAGTCCACAGAAAGACTAAAAGCAGGAAAGAGAGAGTCAGGAGTTAGAACCTGACACTGCTGTTGAGTTACTGTGAGAATTCGCACCAATGTAGTAAAATTACACATTCTCATGTGTAATGATTGCTGTCAAAAGCGTCCTTAGACCTGGACTTCCAAACTTAACCCAGCAATACTTTGGTTATGATGTCGAGCGTCATCTATCAGCTTTAGAGAAAATCAAGTAAGTGTGATTGTTTTTTAAAAAGTTTCATTTTTATGATGTCGGAAGGAGAAGTTGCGACACTTTGCTGGGACCTTAAGATATAAATAGGTAGATTAGAATCACATTCATGAGACACTAAGCGGACATTATTTCTGTTCCACCTCCTATCATGAGAAAAATGAGCAAACTCTGCTGCATTATTTTTAAAGATGATTACAAAATGCTGGAACAACTGAATTTAGTAAATTACTGTTTTTCTTACTTTGTTACTCAGGCTGCTAACAGCAAAAATAAACAGGTTGTGGAATTGTCCACATTTCTTGTTTATTTCTCATTAATTCAAAACCTCATCAAGCCAAAGACAGTTACCTAAAATCTAAACTCTTGACATATGAAAATTCATCTGTTTCTGGACTGGGTTAAGCCCTCGATGTTTCAAGATCCTAGCAATAATTTTGATTGTTGTCCCTGCAATGCCACTGCTACTTCCACAGAACTTGCAGCTGGTGGGGAAAAAAATTTAAAATATAATACATTTTTGGGATAAAAAAATTACATGCCTTGTAACACCTGCAGTAAGTCTGCAGAGAAATGTTTTTAAACTAATAAATGAACAGTAAGAAAGCTAAAGTGTAAAAAAAAAAAAAAAAAAATCTAAGATAAATAACCATTTAAGAACGCTTTTATGGGGCTTGGACTCTTTTACACTTTACCAATCTAAGTTCAAGAAAATATACCAGGTGCTGCAGTTCTTGGACAAGTATGACACTGTAAACTTAAAAAGAAAAATGTTAAAAATAATTAAATTAAAATCTCTCCAAATAATAATCTGCATTCACAGAAATTTAGCAATGAATATGATGGTCATTAACAGGTGCTGTGAAGCTCCTTGTTGGCCCATAAAAGACTTGCCTCCAAGGCATGAAGTTGCCAGATTTACTAAGCAGGAATGAAAGGAAATTAGTGTTGAACCGCAACTAACAAACATCGTTAAGAGAAACTATTGTTGCTAATGAATTTCAGTATCTGCAAATTGAATCTGAAAGATCATTTCTGTAATGACAAACAATATTTAGTGAGAGACATGAAATCTGGGATTGCAAGGAAATTGGTCTGCTGGGTTTATAGTTTGTTTAATATGCCAAAGATGCTGATTGTTATCAATATAATGATCACAATAAAAGACTGAGAGCATAAAGAAGATGATGTTACTCTGAAGACATTTGATATTTTATAATGTCTGCTAAAGGAGCACCAATATAAGGTTCTTATCAGAAATAGAAATGCGTCTGATTAAAGGTGAAAAATGCATTTCTTTACTGCACATAAAATTGCTGAACCACAAAATGGTTGAACATGCTTATTACATTGCAAATACATTCAAAATCTTTTTGATATTCTGCTAAAATAATAAAAAAAAATAATTTCACAATTATTGTGCTTCCATTAAATGAGAAGTGTGATTAAAATCCCATGTGAGTAAGCGTGTTCACTTGATAAGTATTTACAAATCACGGCGGCGACGGATGTAAAGACTTAGATGAGATACAGCTATACTTCAGCCATGGCACTAGTTGTTATGATTAGTCACCAGAGGAGACATCGGTATGCTATTCAAGTGTTAGAGTGAGTATTCTTTATGCTTGGGAACCACAGATAAATCTTTAAAAAAACAGGACACCTGTGAATATTAAGAATCATATACGTGGACAAAAAGAAAAAGAAATAAATTAAATGTAGTTTTCCAATATTTTTGTCCTTTTCTATTGGAATCAATTCTTGGCTGATTGAAAGTAATTTGTCATCCAATTCTCCCATATTTCTGGGTTCACCTTTACAACATATCATTGTTACTTAGCTTTTGCAAAATTTATGAAAGGATCAATATTTCAGACCTGAATAAAAGTAAATATGAATTTCAGTTTGAAGGAAAAACTGCAACCTTGCATTAAACTGATTGACTAAATTCTCAGCACAGAATCATTTATCCATAACAAAATGATGACATTTTTCACTTTGCAGAGAACACATTGTTAACCTATCTTGAGATATGTTTCAGTACTATTTCTTTGGTTTTACTCTTAGTCTGGTTATGGTAGGATTAGAAAATGAAACTGTAAGGGTTAACACACCAAAAGCAGAAAAGAGCTAGAAAACAGGTGTTATGGGGCACCGCGGATAACTACAATTCATAAATACTTGAGACCCTCAACAAAACTACTTATAACTGCTTATTTTGATAGCATAAACACCAAATATACCTTTATATGCATTAACAGGCACGGTGGAAACCACCTTAGCAGCACAACAGCAGAAGCTAATATCTACAGTCTTTCTTATGTCCCCTCTTGTGGGTATTTGACTGCTTTGTAAGCATCAACCACTTAGTGTTGAGCTTAGTTGGCTTTCCAAGACGCAGTATTTTAAATACACTCTTAGAAAAAAATCAGTGAATAACTTTGAGCCACGTTCCACAAAAAAATCCACAAACACTAAACCCGACAAGACAAGGTCTATAGAGTCCAGTCAGTAGAACGGATTACACAGAAGAACATACACTCAGCAGAAGATGTCATCTACTTTATGTAATGAGTCTTAAACATCAAACTTATGTTGTCACTGCTTGTATCATACCGTCTAATCGCAAGAGCTCCTATGGACTAGTGGTGACTGATTACTAAAGAGGAACTGAGAGTCTTAGCTTCAAACCGCCATTAACACGTTTCTTGTAAATTTATCCCAGAACACACACACACCGAATCCCGAATTATCATACAGAGACTGTGCTGCTTATAATTGACTGAAGGAATGCCAGGCACTTACTGATGAACATGGAAACACTCCACTGTGCATCTCCAAATGGCTTTAGCAAGCTAATGGCAGTGTGGGAAAAAATGAGCTCACACAAGGCAGAGGAGGTAATGTAGCTTCCAGCTCGGCTCATTTTCTCCAAACGAAAGAGATAATCTGGACCCCCCAAAGGCCTCAGAGATTGAAAGCCTCACAAGCGGAAACGGCAAATAACTAAGAGAAATTAGATATGAACCTGGGCCAAAGTTTTCTCATTCCGCTCCCCCTCACCAACTCCACCAGCTCCCATCAGAGGCATGGACAATGTGCCTACAGTGAGGAATATATGTGAAATATTCTAAGTACTAATAAGTTTCTCCTGCCTGCCTCCCTCCTTCGTACCGTCCCCATCCTCTGCTCCCCATCTCTACTCTGGCTCACGTCCGTTTCTGTCTTCATTCACTCGTCTTGCTTCTTTTCCTCATTTGCTCTCCACACAGACAGAAATGCATACCGTTAGTGACAAGCGGAGCACTTTTCTTGCCCAGATGTACTGGCAGCTATCTGTCTCAGTGGAGCTCCTCTCATTCCCTCCGCGCTCCAGACCTGCACAGCAAGTGTGTGAGCAAGGGGTTGATGGCAGGAACAAAGGCTGGAATTATGTGGATGCATTGTAGGGAAATGCAAGCAGGCAGCTAGAGATGGGGCTCGGGGCTGGAAGCTTTCCCTGACTGGCAGGTAAAAATGTGGGCTGAGGCAGCGAACGACAAACGCTGTCCCGCCCCATTATTCATGGCTGAAGTGCCCTGGAGCAAAGTACCTCCTATATGCTACACCAGATGCTGCCCACTGCCAGTATATGAAGCCTCTCGAGTCATTGTTTATTGGGGCCTGCTATGCAATGCATGGCAGGAACCTATTGTTCTACACCCAATAGAATGCCTCATTGCAGCCCATACCGCTGCGTGCACCCCCACAAAAGCGGTATCAAAACGTTCAGCTTGATCCCGAGAAGGGAGCTATTACTTTTAGTGGGATTCTGAGTTAAAATGACGACATAAATTGAGAAAAACGAGAAAAATCGAGGCTGAGTGTCTCACAGAATCAGTAATCTTTATCTCTGAAACACACACACAGCACAGTGGATTTCTGACTCCAAAACTCTTTTTAACTCCCCCTCACAGGCACAAATATCACCCTATTGGTCTAAAAGTCGGTCATGACATAGATACACATGCCTGCTCCCGTAAAATGTTTTCAAAATTTTGCTAGGGCTTATGGTTTTGTGTCAGGGTCCTTGAGACCGACGCTGGGTGTCTCACAAGTATAGAAACTGTCTCAGCATGACAGAGAGAGCTAGCCCAGGTGCAGATAATTAATTACCATAGCAACGGGGCCCAGAGAGAGGCAGTGAGTAGTCTCACAAACAGGCGCAGTGACAGGTCTCACAATGCATTTTGGGAAGAATACATGTTTCCTGTGACTATTCATATTTTGCTTACATAAAGTTATTATTTCTCTGAATTTTTGAGTGTGAATTAAAGTCCTTAGTACAAAAGTTGAAAAACTTCTAGAAATAAACAATTACTCACTCTCTTTTTCTTTTTTTTTTTTATTTATTTCAGACTGTGAGTGAGAACCACATGTGCGAAGCTTATAATCGTCCGTCGGAGTGCTGTTCATGACGTTCAACCATTACACTATAATAGCAAACCTGGTTGGCAATAGATGCCAAGTCCATCTTTGCATTAAAAGTGTCATTATTTACCGAATGACACTTCATGACAACCGTCATAAACATTCATAAAGACTTCTTTATGTTCATGACAGGTGTTATGTCAGTCTTATGCACACCCCTTCAAATAAAATGATACCAAGGCAGTTGACTCTATTGGATTCAGAGTAAAGGGGGATGAATACAAATGTATACCTCACTTTTTAAGTTTTTAAAAAAATCTTAAAACTTAAAAAAAAAAAAACAGAATTGTTGAGTGTTTATTTGTGCACAGAACAGTTATGCCCTACTTTGTGGTTTTCTGTCACATTAAATCCCACTAAAATGCACTACACACAAAAAATTTGGGTTGTTGCTCTTAGAGGTTCAGTTTCCTGGATATTCACCTGTTTCCATTGTGTCAAGCTTAGAACTCTGCTCTTATGCTAATTTTCACACAAGTGAATTCATAATCACTGGGCTACTTCTGCATGGCATGTCTTTACACTATCCTCTGTTAATTACTCGTTCTCAGGTATGTTTAAACATAAGGTTATTATAACTGCTAATTATGAGAGGAAGCTAAGATTCGGTTTTAGTAAAAATAGGACAATGCCAGCTTTATCTGTGAAAAGCCATGGCAGTTCCGCATAATGTGCTTGGGAAGGCGCAAATAAGTAGCTGAAGAGTTACCTTTCAACGTTTTTTCTGTTTACTTTTTTGTTTACTTTAGAAAAATCAAATTATCAAAAAATTTTCTTGGCTAATATTAATTTTGCCCAAGAGCTCATCTAAGCGAACCTGCATATGCAATCAGGTTTGAATCCTATGCTCTACAAAATTATGTATGATCTGTAGAGATGTGAAACATTTGTTTCTGACAGTAAAAAAAAAAATAATAATAATTATATATATATATATAT